TTCACTCTTGGTCCACAAGATTCTGGTTTTCAACCAAAGGCTGGCAGATTTCCATTTTCATAGGTTTTTGAAGTTACTTGTTTGCTTTTTTGTTTTAATATTAAATATTTCCACAAAGCAGACTCTTGTTAAAAATAGAAGATCAACCTTTATAAACACCTTTATACACTCTACTGTCTTTAACCATGTTAAACTCTTTGTTACCTTCCCTATCTGTAGCTTTGTTTTTTAATTGATTTGTTCAGCTGGCAGTTTCTGATTGCTTTTAGTTTAGGTTTTTTTCGGTTTCCTCTCCTCTCCTCTCCTCTCCTCTCCTCCCCGTGGCAAAGCCCAAAAGTGTCCTCCCCTCCCTGCCACAGTCATCAATGTTCACAGGGGGCACCTGAACCCCTTGACACACGTGTACTCCCTGCAACTGCTGATGACACCCCATAAAAAAGTGCCTCATCCCCTTGGTCACAGCCAACACAAACGCTCCTGGGCATCACCGTGCCAGGAAGGACACAGAATCACAGAATCTTCTAGGTTGGAAGGGACCTTCAAGATCATCTTGGCCAACCGTCAACCTCATTTTGACAAAAATAGACACCCCCACAACAAACAAGGAGCATCATCACTAAACCACACCTCCCAGCACCACATCAACCCGGCTTTTGAACACCTCCAGGGATGGGGCCTCAACCACCTCCCTGGGCAGCCCAGTCCAAGGGCTGAAGCCCCAGCAGTTTCCTCTGTCATTACAGATATCACCGTCCCCAGCACTGTCTGACCCTCTCAGCACACACCCCCATGCTCCTGGCACACCACCACCACCACCACCATCCCCAGGAGATGCCCACACCCCAACCTGCCCCAGGCCCTCCCAAGAAAGACCAGAGACTCACCATCACCGCCGCCTGGGTGCTCAGCTCCTGGCACCAACCCATAACCACGGTGGTTGCTCGTGAGGTTTGACTGGTGGCATAAGGGGAAATCAAAGCCTGGCAGAGGGGAGAAGAAAGACGGGAAGACGTGTTAGGGTGGGTGGCACCAGGGGGGAGAGGGAAACCCCCCCAGCATAGAATCATAGAATTGCCCAGGCCAGAAGGGACCTCCAAAGGGCATCTCGTCCCACCCCCCCGCAGTCAGCAGGGACACCCCCAACTAGACCAGGTTGCCCCGGGCCTCATCAGGCCTCACTAGGCCTCACCTTGAATATCTCCAGGGAAGGGGCCTCAACCACCTCCCTGGGCAACCTGTTCCAGTGCTCCACCACCCTCCCAGTAAAGAATTTATTCCTAATCTCCAGTCTAAATCTGCTCTTCTCCATTTTAAAGCCATTTCCCCTCGTCCTGTCACTACAGGCCTCTGTAAACAGGCTCTCCCCAGCCTTCCTGTAAGCCCCCCTCAGGTACTGGAAGGCTGCTATTAGGTCTCCCCGGAGCCTCCTCTTCTCCAGGCTGAACAACCCCAGCTCCCTCAGCCTGTCCTCGCAGCAGAGGTGCTCCATCCCCCTCATCATCCTCGTGGCCCTCCTCTGGACCCTCTCCATCAGGTCCATGTCCTTCTTCTATTGAGGCCTCCAGACCTGCACACAAGACTCCAGGTGAGGTCTCACCAGAGCAGAGGAAAGTGGCAGAATCCCCTCTCTGGACCTGCTGGCAACGCAGCTTTTGATGCAGCCCAGGATGGGATTGACCTTCTGGGCTGTGAGTGCCCACTGCCTGCTCATGTCCAGCTTCTCCTCCACCAGCACCCCCAAGTCCCTTTCCTCAGGGCTGAAGCCATAGGCTGAATCTGAAGTTGAGTGGCCCTCACGGGCACCGCTCAGGCCCAGGTGCTGCTCAGGACCGAGAGGGGCTACGACCCACCTTGTGGCCCTGGGGGGCCACCTGGGGCTGCTCCATGGGGCGGCGGGCGCAGGCAGCAGTGCTCGGCGTAGCCGGTGGCTGGGGCGCCCACAGGGTTGAACATGGCGCGGAGGGGCCTGGCCGGGCTCAGGAGAACATCTGCTCCTCTCCGAGGGGCTGGAGCCGGTCGGGGCCTGAGGAGGAAGAGGAGGAGGAGGAGGAGGAGGACAAGGGTGCGTGGGGGTCCCCGCCCGCCATCCCCGCACACCCCCCATCTCCATCCGTGTCCGCCAGGGGGCGCCGCAGGGAAGGGCCGGGGAGAAAAGGGGAGAAACCCCGTCCCCCCCATTTTTCACTGAATTTTCACTGAATTTCACTGAATTTGTAGAGTCGGAAGGGACCACAGAGATCATCTAGTCCAAGTGCCCAACTCATTTTGAGGCACAGACATCAACAAAGAGGGTCCCAGGGCAGAGGAACTGGGCTGGTGGGCATCTGACTGGGCAGCAACCAGCAACATCTCCGTGTACTCAAAAACTTTGGTGGCCCCCCCAACATTTTCCCTTGCCCCCTCCCACACCTACACATCCTGGTGCTCCCCTTCATTCGGGGTGGCCACCCCAAGGGCTCCCAATTTCTCCCTGGGGCCGCTCCCCACCTGGAGCGAAGGCCCACATGTACCTGGAAGGGAGAAGGGTGCAAGAGGAGATGTCTGTGGGGTCAGGGTGCAGCCCCCCACATCCCTCTCCTCCCTCCCTGACCCCGCAGAGACATAAACCATGTGGAGAAGCAGGTGCCTCTGACAGGCTCGTTGGAGGTACAAGCCATTGCAGCTCTGTTGTCACCACAGCCACCCCCTCCAAAGCAAGTATAGAATCATAGAATCATTGAGGTTGGAAGAGACCCTTGGGATCATGGAGTCCAACCATCTCCCCTACTCTACAAAGTCCTCCCCTACACCATGTCCCTCAGCACTGCATCTAAACGGCCCTTCAACACAGCCAGGGATGGGGACTCCACCCCCTCCCTGGGCAGCCTGTTCCAACGCCCGACCACTCTTTGGGTGAAAAATTCCTTCCTAATGTTCAGTCTAAACCTCCCCTGTTGGAGCTTGAAGCCGTTCCCTCTCCTTCTGTCACTAATGACCTGTGAGAAGAGACCAGCCCCAACCTCTCTACAGTGTCCTTTCAAGGAGTTGTAGAGAGTGATGAGGTCTCCCCTCAGCCTCCTCTTCCTCAAACTAAACAGTCCCAGCTCCTCCTATGATTTGTTCTCCAGGCCCTTCACCAGCTTCGTTGCACCCGCTCCAGCACCTTGAGATCTCTCTTGGATGGAGGTGCCCAAAACTGGACACAACACTCGAGGTGTGGCCTCCCCAGTGCTGAGCACAGGGGCACAATCACCTCCCTACTTCTGCTTCTACATGTGTGCACCCAGGCGCTCACACAAACACCTGCGCTCAAGCACACAACTGGGTTATAAAAATTTCACTGAATTTCACTGAATTTTAGAGTTGGAAGGGACCATAGAGATCATCTAGTCCAACTCCCCTGCTGAAGCAGGATTGCCCAGAGCTTGTCAGAGCACGTTACTCAGGAGCATCCAGGCGGGTCTTGAAAATCTCCAGAGAAGGGGACTCCACACCCTCCCTGGGCAGCCTCTTCCAGGGCTCTGCCACCCTCACCGTGAAGAAGTTCTTCCTCATATTTGAGTGGAACCTCTTCTGGTCCAACTTGTGCCCGTTGCCCCTCGTCCTCTCATTGGGAACCACTGAAAAGACTCTGGCTCCCTCCTCCTTCAACCCTCCCTTGAGATACTTGTAGGCCCTAAGTGCTCAAAAAGGGGAAAATAAGGCACAGAGGGTTAGGACCGTCCTTAGCCGAAGGACCTGAGCTGGCACCCTGCTCTGCCCTCCTCGTGGGTCCTTGCAGCATCCGCAGCTCCCACCCAGCCCTGCCTTGCCCGTGGGTCCCCACCCTGCCTGCGGGTCCAAACCCTGCCCTCTCCCACCCACGCATCCCACCCCTGCCCACGGGGCTCAGCCCGACACGCTGAGCCATCCCTGACTCCAGGTTCCTCCCCCTGTTCCTGGCTTTCATTTCCACCTGCTCCTCTGCCTGGTCCTCTCCCTGCTCAGATCTCCCACCCTGGCTCTGCCTTCCACCTTCGCACCCAGGTCCTGGCCCACAGCTCCATCAGGGCAGGCAAAGGGGGAGGGAGGTACCCGGGAAGGTGGTGATGGTGCTGGGGTCAGGCAAGGGAATCACAGAATCACAGACTCTTCTCGGTTGGAAGGGACCTTCCCCCGACACGCTGAGCCATCCCTGACTCCAGGTTCCTCCCCCTGTTCCTGGCTTTCATTTCCACCTGCTCCTCTGCCTGGTCCTCTCCCTGCTCAGATCTCCCACCCTGGCTCTGCCTTCCACCTTCGCACCCAGGTCCTGGCCCACAGCTCCATCCCCACCTTGGGTCACTGACCCCCAGGTGGACCCCCAGGTGACCCCACTGACCCCCAGGTGGTCACTGACCCCCAGTGGCCCCAGGTGGGCCACTGTCCCCAGACCCCCGAGGGCTTACATGAAGGATGGAGGCTCTGGAAGGAGAAAAAAATAGCACAGGGTGAGAGAGAAGCACATAGGGGTGGTGCTGGGAACAAGGCCTCCTGCCCCCCTCAGCCCCCCCCCCGGCTCTGAGAGACGGAGGGAATCACCCCAAACAAGGGGTCTAGGGGAGTGGGAGCCCCTCACCCCACTGGGAAAGTCCTGGGTTGCATTTGGAGCACGGGGGGCCGAGGGGGACAGCAATTCTTCCGCATGAGTTGCCCCTTTGAAAGCTCGTCTCGGGGCTTTGTGAGAGTGTCAGGCAGGAAGAATGGGGGGGTGGGGGGGGGCTTTCAGGGAGTTGAAGAGAGCAAGAAGGTCTCCCCTCAGCCTCCTCTTCTCCAGGCTGAACACCCCCAGCTCCCTCAGCCTCTCCTCATAAAAAAGAAAAAAGAGAGATGAGTAGGAAACGGGGCAGGGGGGAGGAATGCAGAGGGGGGGGGCTCTTACCTGCCCGCTGGACCTGGGCCTTGCTGCAAAGATTTGGGGATTAAGTCCAGCAGAAGCCTCCCATCTGCCCCCTACCCCGACACACTGCCTGCTCTCACATGGAGTCAGGAGCTGGTGGGCTAAGAGTGTGGGTCCGGGGTGGTGTGGGGGGGCTCAGGTGATGGTTCTCCCCCTGTATAAGAGGGGATCTCATCAATGCTCCTCGATATCTAAAGGGCAGGTGTCAAGAGGATGGGGTCGGGCTCTTCCCAGTGGTGCCTGGAGACAGGACAAGGGGCAACGGGCACAAACTGGAACACGGGAAGTTCCGGCTGAACATGTGGAAAAACTTCTTCCCTGTGAGGGTGGCAGAGCCCTGGAAGAGGCTGCCCAGAGAGGGTGTGGGGTCTCCTGCTCTGGAGAGATTCCAAACCAGCCTGGATGAATCCAACCTGCTCCGGGTGACCCTGCTGTGCCAGGGGGTCCCCCAGGTGGACCCCCAGGTGACCCCACTGACCCCCAGGTGGTCACTGACCCCCAGTGGCCCCAGGTGGGCCACTGTCCCCAGACCCCCGAGGGCTTACATGAAGGATGGAGGCTCTGGAAGGAGAAAAAAATAGCACAGGGTGAGAGAGAAGCACATAGGGGTGGTGCTGGGAACAAGGCCTCCTGCCCCCCTCAGCCCCCCCCCGGCTCTGAGAGACGGAGGGAATCACCCCAAACAAGGGGTCTAGGGGAGTGGGAGCCCCTCACCCCACTGGGAAAGTCCTGGGTTGCATTTGGAGCACGGGGGGCCGAGGGGGACAGCAATTCTTCCGCATGAGTTGCCCCTTTGAAAGCTCGTCTCGGGGCTTTGTGAGAGTGTCAGGCAGGAAGAATGGGGGGGTGGGGGGGGGATGTGGAAAAACTTCTTCCCTGTGAGGGTGGCAGAGCCCTGGAAGAGGCTGCCCAGAGAGGGTGTGGGGTCTCCTGCTCTGGAGACACTCAAAACCCTCCTGGACACATCCAACCTGCTGTGGGTGACTCTGCTCTGGCAGGGGGTTGGACTAAATGATCTCCAGAGGTCCCTTCAACCCCTACAATCCTGCCATTCTGTGTGATTCTTGGGAGGGGGAGACAGGAGGCTTTGGCTTTGCTGAGCTTCCACCCCCCTGCCCCATCATCTCCCAGCTGCATGTGCCTCTCCAGGTGCGTGCAAACCTGTGTTCACGCATCTGCGCGTGTGTGTGTGCGCGTGTGCACACACCTGAGGAGCTGCGTGCACCACCAAGGGCTGGGGCATGTGTACTGTGGTTGACTCCACAACTGGACAAACTTTAGGGAAGGACTTGCAAACCCTCTCTTTGCAGAGGGATCTGGACAGGCTGGATGGATCGGCTGATACCAACGGGATGAGGTTCAACAAGGCCAAGTGCCGGGTCCTGCACTTGGGTCACACCAATCCCATGGACACTACAGGCTGGGGGAAGAATGGCTGGAGAGTTGCCTGGTAGATAAAGGACCTGGGGGTGTTGGTCGCCTGTGGGCTGAACAGGAGCCAGCATTGTGCCCAGGTGGCCAAGAAGGCCACCAACATCCTGGCCTGTATCAGGAACAGTGTGGTGGGACTCAGGAGGTGATGGTCCCCCTGTACCGGGCACTGGTGAGGCCTCACCTTGAGGGCTGTGTCCAGTTTTGGGCCCCTCACCACAAAAAAAGACATTGAGGGGCTGGAGTGGGTCCAGAGAAGGGCAACGGAGCTGGTGAGGGGTCTGGAGAGTCTGAGGAGAGGCTGAGGGAGCTGGGGGTGTTCAGTCTGAGGAAGAGGAGGCCGAGGGGAGACCTTCTCGTGCTCCATAACTACCTGAAGGGGGGGGTAGAGAAGGGGGGTGTAGAGAAGGGGGGTGTAGAGAAGGGGGGGGTAGAGAAGGGGG